TGGTAAGAAATGTACGCATTATCCTGCCCATGTAATTGTAACCCCTCTGTACAGTATGTTCACAAATAAAATAAAATTAAATTAAAAAAAAAAGACTTCGATTGCCATTGCCATATTCCATAGGGGAAACTGAGTATCTACAGGTCCATTATTCCTCCAAAATCACGCAATGAATCAGTGGTGGACCCACCTACAGAACACTAGTTCTTGCCTCACTGCTGAGATTCCTGGACTTGCTTCTTCTGACCTTCACAAAACCCTGGTCTTTTCCTGATTTGCCATCTGTCTTTGCTTGAGCCCCAGTTGTGACAGCAGTAGATATGAGGCAAGAACAAAGCTGAATGGTCCTGATGAGTTCTTTGCATGAGATAATGAAGCTAAGAACTTAGAGAAGTAGATGAGACAACGATACCTCCACAGTGGGGAAAAGTGATAATATAAGGGATCACAGGGAAGTATGACTCCTAGGTTGTCAAATCAGGCTTGAATTCAGTGATTGTTCACTGGATAACCATGAGCAAGTGTCTTAGCTGCTCTGAGTCTCAGTATTGTTAATTTCTCTTTATTTATGACAGTAGTTTTACAGTCTACATTTATCCCAGACATACACATAAATTCCCTTCCACAAAAGTGGGAAAGTATGGTAGCCAGAGATTTGCTACTTTTCTGAGTTAGTAATTAAGACTTCTTGATCAACACACACACACACACACACACACACACACACACAAAAGTTCATGTATACTGATCCTGGGCTTGAACTAATTAGGACATGGGTGCTTGCTGTCCCTGAGTTTTTTGTTCAAAACTAGGATTCTACCATTTGAGCCACGGCTCCACTTCTGGCCTTTGGTGGTTAATTGAAGATATGAGTCTCACAAACTTTCCTGCCTGGGCTGGTTTTGAACTACAACCTTCAGATCTCAGCCTCCTCAGTAGCTAGGATTATAGGCACGAGCCACTGGTACCTGGCCTCATAAACTTTTTACAAGGTAGATATTATTATACCCAGTTTATAGATTAAGTTTACAACGAAACCACCCCATAGCTGAGCCAGAACTGGAATGGTAGCACTGACAGCTCTACAGCCTATTCAAGGTTTCACTTCTAGAGAGAATGAACATGAGCCAGGACAACCACACCAGAGTGCACACAAGGCTTTGTGGGTTTTCTGGCCATAGAAATCTACCCAGAATAGGAGATGTGTATTAGCTCACCTGCTACTCTGCCTCCTGTTTTACTTCTCTTCCCTGGCCCCCCTTTCTTTGGCAAATGTCTTTTTCCATTTGCTTCAGTGTGTATGACTGAACTCTAGCTCTCATTCTGCCTCTGTATGTTATGTAGTAATTCTTTCCTCCTTTGTTCTCTTTCTCTCAGATTGTGAGTGTGCACACACATGCATACACATGAGCCTGTGAGTCTACTGCTCTCTATATGTATCTTCCTCTTCTCTCTCTATGGTCTTTCTGTGTCTACATGAGTGGGATTGGGGTAAAGAGATAGGTAGATGGGTGGGTTCCTGGCTCTCCCAGTTATATATATTATATTTCTTTGTTTCACACTAGCCCATGAGTTCTCCAGCTTGGTTTCATGGGTCAGGGTTGCCACACCCAGGATGCTCCATTGGGCAGCTGAGTAGCAGGCATTCTGAGGTGAAACTGAAGGACAGTGTGAAGGTCAGATACACAGTTATCCTATTAAAAAGACACACCATGTGCTGGTAGCTCAAACCTGTAATCCTAGCTACTCAGGAGACTGAGATCTCAGGACCATGGTTTAAAGCCAGTCTGAGCAGGAAAGCCCATGAGACTCTTATTTCCAAAAATGTACCCCCCCCCAGAAAAAGCTGGAAGTGGAGCTCTGGCTCAAGTGGTATAGCATTAGCCTTGAACAAAGAAGAAACACAGGGACAGCACCTAGGCCCTGAGTTCAAGCCCCAAAACTGAT